GAGGAGGAGGAGGAGGAGGAGGAGGAGGGGGGGAGGGGGAGGGGGAAGAGGAGGAGGGGGAGGAGGGGAGGGGGAGGGGGAGGGGGAGGAACCAACCTGTAAGAGATGAGAGAGTGAGCTTGCACTAGAGTTAAGGTGTAAACCCTCCTGCCAAAAAATCACACCCACCAAGGAAGCTTAGGTGGAGAGATCCAATAACCCCATTACACAGTTCAGACAAAAGTACAGTGAGAGATGTTCTCTGATATGTGGGTGCTGGCTGTGGGCTCCTTTCGTTTTCTGGGAGGGTGGGGTGACAGCCTTCTGTCACGACCTCAGAGCCGTCAGCACGAGGGCCATCCTGGGCAGTTATGAGTCTAGTAACTGGCCCCTCCACTGCTCTTCTCCCAGGTTGCCCTTTTCCTGTACAACGGGGTCCTACTGGATCAGTTTGTGCTGCAGGTGACGCATCCTCGGTACCTGAAGAACTCTCTGGTTTACCACCCGCAGCTCCGTGCACAGGCTTGGCGCTATGTGACATATATCTTCATGCATGCAGGGTGAGTATCTCTCCGTAGTCCCTGTAGAAGTGTGAGTGGGGCTGAAATATATTCTAACATATTATGTACACATTTACATATACATGCTTTAAAATTAATTTTTTACAGTGTTGAGAATTGCACCTAGGGTCTCTGCGAAGCTAGGCAAGTACCCTCTCACACTGGAATTAAGTTATCAGTTTCTTTTAATGACTTAGATGCAGATCTGAGATAGCTTCTCGAAACACCTCCAATACCAAACACACCAGTCAGCTGTTAAATGTGTGTGGAAAAGGAGAAGGAGAGTAGAATGCTGAAAACCAGCAATGGCGGCACACACATGTAACAGTGCAGCTCTGTGCACTTGGCAGAGGTAGGCTGAAATGTTCTGTGCCCCCCTAGTGGCCGAAGCAAAAAGGGTCATGTGACCAACCACCAGCATTGTTCATCATCTGTGTGTGTGATTGCTCCCATGAGTAAAGGAAAGGACTAATTTATTGCAACAACTGATTTCCCATCATAGTTTGTCCAGGAGAGGAAAGCCTGGGGCCCTCTCCCAGCCCTGAGAAGTTTGGAGCCCGTGAAGCAGGCCCCTTCTCATGCCAGGAAGGAGAACCTCCCTCTGTAAGACTTTAAGAGAAGATGATGCATTGTTAAGTTCCAAGAGGTCTCTAATGCATCGAGACGTTTTGAGACCATCTTTGTTCTTGGGCTCAGTAGTGCCTATAGATATGATGAAAAGCCAGAGTGAGCCCAGAGCTGGGGAATGGGGCAGGTCAAGCTGACCAGACACCGGGGCTGTGACTAAGCAACTCACTGCCACTTTCTGAGCTTTGGCTTCTTGTAAGTTAACCCCTGGAGCTGCTAGGTCCTGGGCATGGCTAGTCCCCTTCACTGCTGTAGATACAGACTACCTGCCTGTCACCACCAGGTCCCTTATGTGTATTCTGTCCCAGCGGGAAAGAATTTTTTTCCATGACAGTCAAGTTCCCTCCACAGCCCATGAGCTGCTCAAAGGCAAAGAATGGGGCCTCGCACCAACCTGCTGGCTCCCAGTATCTCGGCCCACAGCATTTGCCAGGTGAATTAATGACCGTGGTCTGTCACAGGGTGGAACAGCTGGGACTCAATGTGGCGCTGCAGCTGCTGGTAGGGGTACCCCTGGAGATGGTGCATGGAGCCACCCGAATTGGGCTTGTCTACGTGGCTGGTGTTGTGGCAGGTAGGCAGGTGGGCCCTGTGGTGGACCTCCCCTGGGAAGGTCAGAGGAGAGCCCATGGGTGGTACGAGCCCAGGCTTTCTGGGCACATACAGATCTCCATCTCCAGGTTTCCTGACTCAGAATTGTCTACTAGGCATATTTCCACAGCTACCCAGACAGGGAGGTATGTTCTGGAAAAGGGGCAGAGCATATGATTGGAACAGGCCTACTGACAGAGTTCCTCTCATCAAACTCCCAGGTCCCAGCTGTGTAAACCTGGGGAAAGCCCTTGGTCCCTTGTGGTCCCATCAAGCTTGCAGACAGAGCTAATGAGAGCTGCCTGCTATTGTTGGGAAGCTGCCCACGTGATGAGAGGCTCCTCTCCCTGCGGAGGGTGCAGAACACCCAGCTCATCAGTGGCATGGGTGGCAGCTTTTTGGCCAAGGCACATCTGAACCCATAGGGAGCTTTTTCTTCTGCCCAGATCAGCCATGGACCCCTTGATTGATGCTCTGAGGATAGGACAGTCAGGCCTCGGAGGTAGTGGATACCCCTGTTGGAAGAAGTCTGTGTGTCTGACCTGGGGTGGGGTGCAAGTGAATTCTCCAGGGAGCACTTTGGAGCAGTGGATCTCCACACCCCCCCATGATACCTCCAACTGAGGAGGTAAAGCCTCCTCATTCCTTCAGCTTGACAGCTGGCCCAAGGGAGGAGCACTCTCTGTCTCTCTCTGTCTCTTTGTCTCAGTCTCTCTCTCTGTCTCTCTCTCTGTCTCTCTTTCTCTGCGTGTGTGTGTGTGTGTGTGTGTGTGCGTGCGTGCGCGCGTATGTGTGTGTATGTATGTATGTTTAAGATCTTAATCCTTCCTGAGTGGCATTAATGTTGCCCTCAAGAGAGCTAGGCAGCCTTGGCCTTGTAAAAACAAGAGGCAGTTGGTGATGAAAGTGACTTCAGAGCAGGAAGGCTCCCACTCTACCTCCAGTACCTCCAGTGCTAGTTTGTAGACCCAGTGCAGGAGGCGGGGTGGGGTGGGACAGGACACCACACCCTCCCAGCACTGCCCCTGGCATCTGTGCCCAGCTCCTTGCACCTTGGGCAGCACCCTCAAAGACTTTCCCTGAATCCAGCACCTTCTATGTCCTTAACAGAGGTCGAGTCAGCACCTCCAGGTTCCAGACCTCTCTCTCAGCCACCCACACACCTTTCAGTCATGCCACCTGGGGATTTGTGGCTGCTGAAAGTTCCCTACCTAATTTCTCAGAGTCCCAGATGTTAAATGGCAGGGAACGGGAAGGCACTCGTAACACTTGCAGTTAGTAGTCAATTAGACTCCAGGTGCCAATAACTTGGAAGACAGAAGTGAGATTCAAAATGACTCAGCCCTCACCCAGCACAGATGACACAGTGGGAGACAGCACAAACATCCCTCCTCAGTGACGTCAGTGCAGAGTGGGAAGGTGCAAACCAAAGCAAGACACGTCACCAAGACATGAGGCTGTGGGACTGCAGCGTGGAGCCAGGGGCACACAGAGCTCTGCTTGAGCCATTGATTCAGGCCAGAGGCCGTTCTGGTCAGTACAAATCTTGTCATTGACCCCCATGAGATTGTGGACTGAGTTCCCTACACTGTATCCCCAGAAGGAAGCCCTTACAGACAGATAGACCTTGACTAGAGAGTTAATTCTTATCCATGGCCAGCATGCATGGAGTCTTCACCACCACCCCGTGCGGGCACGGGCACTCTTTTCTACCTGCTGTGGGTGTAGGGCCCAAGGCTGAGGTTTGGTGCAGCACATTCCTGTAATACCAGTGTAGAGACTGAACCAAAAGGCTCAGAAGTTCAAGGCCAGCTTGGGCTACACAGTGAGAGAGAAACAACAAAACAAACAATAACAACAACAAAAACCAGGCTTTAGAGGAACTTGCTCAAGAAGACCCGGCCTCTGTGTAAGTGGTGAAGCTGGGTCTCCCACATAGGCTGTGTGACCCCAAAGATCGCCCTGTAGATACAACTGTGATGTGATGAGAACCAGAAGGCAGGCCTTTGCTTTTGTGCGGATAATCAGAAGCCAAGGGAGGGTCTTGATTAGTATCTGGCCCTGCGTTTGCTTTAATCCCCACCCAGTGAAGCTATTTCAAACCCAAGGCCGTCCTATTTATCAAGTGATGGCTGACTCACAGGACATCTACAATACAGGTGATACAGCTCTTATACGTCATCGCTAGTATATGTCACAATTTTATGAGGTTCATAAGGTGACCATGGTCACTGGCATTGTACAGGTTATTCAGAAAGGTGAGATAAACTCTTCTAAGTAATCAAATGAGGGTAGAGCCCTGTGCACTGTATCGTGTCCTGTGACCGACACTAAAGACGAACAGTTACATCACTAACAATCTTTTAAAGCTCGTATCTTAGCAGGGCATGTGGTCATAGACCTGCAATCCCAACATGTGGGAGGTGGAGGCAGGGGGATCAAGCACTCAAGCTCATCCTTGGCTACATAACGACTTGGAGACCAGCTTGAGCTATGTAAGTTACTGTGTCAAACACAACAGACAAGGCACCGAAGTGTGTCAGCAACATTTTATTACAGAGTTTGTAGAAGCCAGTACGCATCCCTAGAGCTCAGCACCTGTTAGGTAATAAATATTTGTAGAGTAGATGAAAGAATACATGAATAAATAAAGTAACATCGCTTAGAGGCAAGTGTTCTGCCAGTGTTAATTTGAGTTTTTTCTAATGGCCGAGGGAGATGTTGGCGAACACCTACCTTCACACTTTTCAGGGTAAAACCCTTGCAGCTGTGCCTTAATGGCAAGGCCACCAACTCACCTGCATGATGGCAAGGAACCGTCCCCTTGGTCTGTGCTGTACAGAGGTGAGGTGTGGCACTCCATCTTGCCATTGTCTTCCTGGCTTCTGACCCTACCACCTCCAGGGGATTTGTCCTGACTTCAAGGGCCTGTTAGCCATGAGTTAGTTTCCTAACAAGTTAGGAAAGGATCCTGCCTGGTCCACAATCTCCCTTGGTGTCTTTTACTACTCTGTATGCATAGATTCTGTGTTGTTTGGTTCTGGCCAGTCCATCCAGGCCCCAGCTGATGCAGAGACCTTAGGAAAGTCTTGGAAGGTAATAAAGATTATAAAATGAGACAATTGTGCAAGTTTGTTATCCCAGCACTCAGGAAGGTCTCAGCAAGATCAAGGCCAGCATGGTCTACATAAAACCTTTAAATATGTCTTTAAAAGATACATATATTTCAGTTCAAAATCAAAGCCCTTGAATCTTCAGCCAAATTCAATGATGTGGGGCCATTGAATTCCTGATCTGGGAAGAACTGTGGAGCCTACTCCCCTTGTGTGAACAGACAGCTTTTTTCCCAAGGCCTCACCCCACATAGCCAGAGAACTTTCTGCTCTGCCCAACGAATTAAGGAGCCCAGGAAGGGTTTACTTTAAAGCTAGGTTTCACTGTTCAGAATGTAAAAGGCTTTATACATTCACATCTCACACATGTGAATACTAAAGCCAAAAGACTTTAGGAGCAATGCCTAAGGTCTCACAACTGGTCATTCTCATCCCCATTTCACACCCCTGCCAGGATTCCTAGCTGGCCCCTGGCCCAACGGTCAAGACTCTAAACACAGGGAGGGTAAGGGAAAGGTCAGTGCTGTGTAGGCTTAGGGCCCTTCTGTCCCTGGAGGCTGCCCTATGCATCTTTGACCCTGACTGCTCTGGGGCACAGAGAAGGAGTCGATTTGCATGTGTCCCTCAGAGAGGAAAAAGACCAACTGGGTGAAGCCAGGCTTGCTTGATGCAAACACTAATTAATGAGGCGCTGGCTTGGGCAGCTGGCCCCTGAGCTGTCCTGCAATGCAGTCCACACACAGTAGCCAGGAGAGTGTGGAGATCTTTTGTCATGCAGACCATGCTGCCTGTTTGTTTGCTACCCTGGGATTCCCCCTACCCAACCCCCCTGCTTTGGGATATTTATGGCTGAACCCCGTGGATAGGCCAATGAAAGGGAAAAGTTATCTGACAATAGATACTAAATTAAAGCCCAAAGAAAGATAGGACAAAGGTACAGGAAGATTTCTAGCTGCCATGGGCTGGGAGAAAGACTTGGGAGTCCTTGGGTCATGATAGCTTGGGGTTTGTCTGTTTAATTTTTCCCAAAAAATTACATCTCCCTTGATAACAAGAATTGGTCATAGGGACTTAGAAAGGGGTCGTCAAGAGACAGGTGGTCTGGGTGCTCCCATGGGGATCTCTCTCCATGTCTCCATCCAGATGGTCTTAGGTCCTGGTTCAGGAACCCCCTCCTAAGATGTGGACCACACCACCTTTGTGAAACTTGCAGATTTGGGCTCTCAGCCTGTTCCTCCTCTCCTGCGGCTGACTCCTGAGCCTGCCTGCAGGCGTTTTCCAACGGTGGTTTCTGCTTGCTCACCCAGGCCAGCTGCCACTCACCCTCTGTGCCCTGAGCTCTGCCTCCTAGTTATTTTTAGTCTCCTGTGTCCTTCCCTGGAAGCCAAAGCATTGATCACACTTAAATTTGACCAGAACGATAAATTTCTCCTCGTCTCTCTACCCAGCTTCCCCCCACTAGGAGCAAAGTTTGTCATCCCACAAACCAACAGCCACAGAACTGCCCTCTCCCCAGAGTGTGATGTCATCACTCTCCCCAGAGTGTGATGTCACCCTTCTCTGAACTTTCAAGGACATTCTCCCTACAGAGATGCTGCACTTGGGAGATCCTCTTGCGGTTTAGCTTGGCTGGTAGGAGGTGGTGCTAAGCAAGTTCCTAGATTCAGCAGAGCAAAAGAGGCAGGTGGAAGGAGCAGAAGCCACCTCTGAACTAGTGTGGTGTGGCTGCCACTACTGCTGGCAGAGAGTACAGGGTTGACCCGAGTGGCTTTCAGGCTGGGGAACTGATCTGTGGCTGAGGGCTTGCCCAGCCTTTTGTAAGGCCTTAAATTCAATTCCTGGCCTTGGGAGGAGGGAGAAAAAAATTCTGTGTCAGGCAGAACAGGATTCAAATCCTGGTTCCAGGCTTCCCACCAGAAAACTGAGATGAGAGCCTTCTTTTATGTCTAAGGTGAGGCTCTTAGCACCTGCCTTGAAGGCCTTCAGGGTGGAAATGAGTCTTGTGGGTAGGAAGAAGTATATGTACCCTGCCTGCCCGTGTGGGACGATTTCTTTTTTTCCCTTTTTTTTTTTTTTTTTTTTTTCCGAGACAGGGTTTCTCTGTGTAGCCTTGGCTGTCCTGAAACTCACTCTGTAGACCAGGCTAGCTTCGAACTCAGAAATCATGTGGGACGATTTCTGTTCCCTGGGGCAGCTTTGTGTCACCACCAGATGTTGCTGAAGCCGGGTGACTTGGTTTGGGATCAGTCCCAGTTGGAGCCAGTCAGACTTGTCCTGCGAATCTTGGTTTCCTATCAGTAAACCGAGAAAGCTGGACCATGGGGTTCCTCCCACCACACACAGATCTTCTGAACAGTCCAGAGGAAGCCACAAGGCCCCGTGGGGTTGAAAGGGGAGGAGATGGAGCCTGTTGCTGCAGAGTTGCTCAGCTCCTGTGGTGGAATGCGAGGGCCAGGGGCTGGGCTGCACTGTGAGTCCAGCACTCTTGATGGTTTTCGCTCTCTCTGTGCCAGGCTCCTTGGCGGTGTCTGTGGCTGACATGACTGCACCTGTTGTGGGCTCTTCCGGAGGGGTGTATGCGCTCGTCTCTGCCCACCTCGCCAACATTGTCATGGTGAGCAGCCCCTGTTCCCTGTGGGTCTTCCTATCTCTCCTCTGTCATCACTGGGCTTGGACATCCATCCTCTAGCGTTCTCTCAGCCCAGGCCTGCCGAGTGCCAGGCTAGACTGCTGGTAGCATGGTTCATAGCTATATCTTCCTCTGCAGACCCATTTCACCTGGGTCCTTCCCAGATGAGGTCATATTTTCTCAGGCCAGGCTTGGCCTGCAAATATGCCTGTCTCCCTAGTTCACCCATTTCCTCAAAAATTGTTAAAAATCTGTCTACTAGTGTCTTAGTTAGGGTCACCATTGCTGTGATGAAACCCCATGACCAAAGCAAGTGGGGAGAAAAGGGTTTATTTGACTTACACTTCCATATCACTGTTCATCACTGAAGGAAGTCGGGACAAGGAACTCAAACCAGGCAGGAACCTAGAGGCAGGAGCTGATACAGAGGCCATGGAAGGGTGCTGCTTACTGTCTTGCTCAGCCTATTTTATTAGAAACCAGGACCACCAGCCCAGGGATGGCACCATCCTCAATGGGCTAGGCCCTCCCTCATCAATCACTAATTAAGAAAATGCCCCCTTTTCTTTTTTGTTTTGTTTTGTTTTTTCAAGACAGGGTTTCTCTGTGTAGTCCTGGCTGTCCTGGAACTCACTCGTTAGACCAGGCTGTCCTCGAACTCAGAAATCCGCCTGCCTCTGCCTCCCAAGTGCTGGGATTAGAGGCGTGCGCCACCACCGCCCACCAATGCCCCCTTTTCTTAAAGGCTTGCCTACATCTGATCTTATGGGGGCATTTTCTTAATTGAGGCTCCTCCTCTCAGGTGATGTTAGCTTGTGTCAAGTTGATATAAAACCATCAGCACAACTAGTATGCATGGCCATTAGAATTCTTTGTCATAGATCATGCAAAATCAGAGGACTTGGGGGCTGAGTCACTGAGCTAGCCCATAAAGTACTTCTCACACAGGCATGAGGACCTGATTTTGGATCCCTAACACCCATATAAACATTGGGGCACAGTGATGCATGACTGTAAACCCAGCTCTGGGGAGGCAGAGAGGCAGATGCCTAGAGTTTGCCTTTAGGAGCCACACTAGCCAAATCAGTGAGCTCCAGGTTTGACCTTTGACCTCTGGTTTCCACATGTACACACACACACACACACACACACACACACACACGGTGGCGGGGGGATACACATAGATAAGAGAACCTAAATATGTCGGCAGGCTTCTCAAATAGAAAAAATAGACCTTGTACAAGTAAGTAACCTGCCCAAGGTCATCCCTTCACACCGTCACTCCATACCTCCTGACAGCCATCTGGGTGCTGTCCCCTGCTCCAGCCCCTTACACAGTCAGGGTCTCATTCTTTTTCCCTCCATCTTATTTGCTATAAGGATAGCAAATAATTTTAAGGATGTGAGCATGGGCCAAGGAGACAGGCATCCTAAGGTCGGAATCCCTGCTGCCCACTCCTAAAAGGTGACCCGGGTCAGATCACTTACCACTCTGTGCCGTGGGTTCGTCACCTCTGAAGTGGGGTGATACGTAATGACTGGGGAAAAAATGAAAATAAACACTTGAATAGTAACTTAATTCTTCATTCCTTACAAAAGAACCCAAGTAGACTCAGACTAAGCAGGGCCTTCAAATCGGCATGCTGAAGACCCTGTGGTAGGGAGTCTGTCTAGTTCAGAGGTAGGTGGAGGCCTCTCTAATGGGACTCAGCTGTCCTCATACCTGTACTGGCCTAGGGGCCACTCCGAGTTATACACGCATCCCCCTGTGCCTGACATACTCTCGCTGCCTATAAGATTTGGGGATAGAGCAGAGAGTTCAGGAAGGTAACAGATTCCCTGTGAGCCTCTCCTGCTCCCTGCCCTCTTGGTGACAGTTTTTTTTCCCCCACATGGCACTTGTGGTGCTTGGGTGTCACAGATTTGGAGTCTCTACATTCTCCCATGGTTTCATCTGGGTTTTTGATTTTGGTTGAGCAAGCCATTACCACATTGTCTGGGATGTCCTGGAACTCATAATCCTACCTCAGCCTTCCAAGTGCTGAGTCTGACTTCGCTTCCTCCCTCCCTCCATCTTTCCCTTCCTTCTCTCTTTCTCTTCTCCTCCTCCTCTTCCTCCTTCTCCTCTTCCTCTTTTCTTTTGGCTTGAAGTAGGGCTATCCCAAGCTGGCCTGGGACTCACTGTGTAGTCCAGGCTGACCTCAACCTTGTGGCAATCCTCCTGCTTCAGCCTCTTAAGTGCTGGCAGCCCAGCATACCCTCCTGGAATCCCTGCATTCTAGATGAGCTCCATGCTCACCATGTTCACCGTGCTCCCCGCCTCACTCTGAGCACTACCGTCTTCTCCTCACCCCCCACCCCCTCTGAGTGGAGAGGGAGAGCAACAGAGGGAGAGAGAGAGGTGCTGAGTGACTACATTTGCTGCTGGACTAAAGTCTGGCAACCTCCAGTGTGTGTTGATAGAGAGACTGCAAGTGAGTGTGGGTGAGCATGCCTGAGTGTGAGGGTTCGGGATGTGTTTCCCTTTACACACACAGCTCTGTCTGCTGGGGGCCAGAGTGCTCGGGGCTGCCTCACATGGCCCTTCTAAATGGGTCATCCTCTGTCAATTCTGTCTTTCCTCAGACACAGCTATTCCTCTGAAATCTGCCTCCTCCTCCCCTCCCCCTGCCCCAATTCCTCTCAGCTGGAGAAGGAAATAGTGACCTCCCTCCCATTCCTGCAAGATAGGGATGGGGACAGAGACGGTGGGGGGATGAGCAGACACCGTGGAAAGAAGAAAAAGACAGGAGTTTATGACGATCTCCCCCACCTCATGGGAAGCAGCTGTGGTGTCCCAGAAGTTCTGGTGGGGAGGACTGTCCACTCAACACTGACGGGTAGGCCTCAGGCACCGAGGGACCTGGGAAACAGTTCTGTTCAGTTTACATGTCTGTCTGGTGAGCCGCCCATGGCCATGGAGAGAAGCAGTTTCATTGGAGACCTTTGTGCTTTTCCAAAAGAAAGCGGCTCTCTGCCTGCCTCCTGGGAGCTGAGAGTCCTTGGAGCTTAGTGTAGTGTACTTCCACATCCCCTAACAATCAAGGGACTGCTCTTGCCTTTAGGTAGATGTTGAGAACTGGCACACATCTTTAATACCAGCATTCAGGAGGCAGAGGCAGTTGGATTTTTGTGAGTTCAAGGCCAGTCTGGTCTACATATTGAGTTCCAGGACAGCCAGGGCTACATAGAGAGACCCTGTTTTTTTTTGTTTTTGTTTTTTTTAAAAGTACCATTCCTGTGACTGAGGAGTGTTTAAATATTAGCAATTTCATATACCTCAACCTCATAGATACGCTGTTGATTGATTTCCAAAATGAGGGTGGAGTGTTTATTCACTAGACAGTATCTCATCAGAGTAAACGGCAGAAAAACTATGGATTTAACAGGAAATCTGGATTTGAGAGCCATATCTGAGGCTGGGTCTGTCACTGTGAGCTCCCAGGGCTCCCATTGCTCTCATAAAATAGTTGTTAGAGCCGGGCAGTGGTGGCGCACACTTTTAATCCCAGCACTTGGGAGGCAGAGGCAGGCGGATTTCTGAGTTCGAGGCTAGCCTGGTCTACAGAGTGAGTTCCAGGACAGCCAGGGCTACACAGAGAAACCCTGTCTCGGAAAAACAAACAAACAAACAAAAGTATGTCTTATGGCTGTGGTAGTACACACCTGTAACCCCAGCGTTTGGGAGGCTGAGGCTGATCAAGAGTTCAAGGCTAGCCTGGGCTACATAGAGAAACCATCTCTCAAAAGCAAAACAAGGATTTGGGAAGGTGGCTCAGTAGGTGAAGGATTGGCTGCAACAGCCTAAGAACCTGCCAGGCTCCAGGACCAAGCAGAGCTGGGTGAGGTAGCACATGTCTATGACTCCAGTGTTCTTCCCAAGGAGATGGGAGATGAGACAAGACAATCCCCAGAAGCTCATGGACCAGCTACTCTGGAAAATGCAGTAGCAAACAGTAAAGACCTGTCTAAACCATGTGGGAGGAAGAGGTTGTCCTTGACCTTCCCATGTGCCTTCACTCACAGTCAGACATACAGACATACATGTATACATGCACACATCATACAGACACACATGTATACATGCACACAGCATACACATGGGCACACACACAAATAGTTTAATAAACCCCTGAAAATATGCCTTTCATGTATGTGTGTGTGTGCGTGCGAGAGAGAGAGAGAGAGAGAGAGAGAGAGAGAGAGAGAGAGAGAGAGATTGATTTAAAAAACTTATAATTTAAACCAAAGAGTCAGAAAACATTTCAGCCAAAGATGTGGCTCAGGAAAAGGCTTTCAATCAAGACTTCTTATTTTAAACACTGGAAATAGAAAGACCCACCTGATGGAATAATTTATGAATTGCCTGCTGCTGGGCCCATAAGCCACAGTTCCATTTTTAAATATGCAAGCTATTTGCTTACACTTTGCTGTGTGTTCAATGTTTTCCTAAAATATTTGAGAAGCAAATCTTTGCAAATTGAATTTTATTGTCAGAGCTCAAGAAAGATAGTTGCTAAAAACAAAGAAAGAACGTCTGCCATGGGGTTTCTGTAACTAAGTGACCAGCCTCTTGTAGGAGAGAGAAACCACTCCTGATCTATATGCCATGCTTTCATGGTGTGTGTGATTGTGTGTGTGTGTGTGGGGGGGTGAGTGTGTGTGTGCATTGAGCCCAGGGCCTCACACATGCTAGGAAAGTGCTCTTAATTGGTTGGGTGAACACGATGTGAAGGAGACTGGTTCCCTACTTGTTCTCGGTGGCTGAGTCACTGTCTTACCCTGTGGGGCTGCGGGGAGAGAGTGGAATTAAAGGGCCTGCGAAAGGTCTTGTTCCCCAGGGACCATGGCTCTTCCACACTTAGAGTGGAGGCAGCACCTGCTGTGTGAGACTTTTCTCTCCTGGTGTTCCAGACACTCATTTCATCGGAGGGAATAATGGCTCT